CAGCTTGGCAGTGCCCCTGTCCATTTTGCTTCCCAAATCTCTTCCCTGGCACCTCTGGGCTGGGTTTTAAAGCCAGCCCTGAGCTGCTCCCCAGCACAGACAGGGAGGAGCAGAGGCCTCTCCCCCTGAGGCAGGCAGAGCAGTGGGAAGATGATGATGATGATGATTTAAAATGAGGCCCCTGCAATGGTGGAGGGTGATTTGTTCCCATCCCTGCTGAGCAGTGCTCAGCTCCAGGATCAATATGGCCCAGCTGGGGACCATAACCCTGAACAGGCTGGGGGAAATTGCTGGAATTGGCTGCAGGAGCAGACCCACAGCTCCACCTCCTGCTCCCCAGTCCCATCCTGCCCGTGTGTCCCTGCTTTCCCACTCAGGCTGTTCCTGGCTGCTGGAGGGGTTTTGGGGTGCTCTGAGGGGTGGCAGGGCAGCAGGTGAGTGCTGGGTGTTTCCAAGCAGGGCCTGATGTGTGCTGAGCCCGAGTGCTCCCAGGAGGGGAGTGCAGCAGGCAGGGCAGGGGCAGCTGAGCTCAGAGAGCGCTTGGGATTTCATTTGCATTCTGATTATCTTTGCCCTGCTGGCCTGAGCCCTGGCGAGCAAATCCTCCCCCTAATCCCCCTCCGGAGAGGTGTAAAGAGCACTCAGGTGGTGTCAATTGAGGGCACTTTAATGGCATCGATATTGGCTGCCTGCTCCAGGGGCTCTTGGCCCATTGATCTCTATCAGGGCAGGGGCTGCCTGCAGCCCTTGAGCATCCTCAGCACCTGAAACGCTGAAATTGCCCCCAAAACCAGGGAGTGGCTCAGGATCTGCTGCTCCAGAGGTGCCCAGCCCAGCTGCAGAGCTCCCCCGTGGGTATCCTCATCCCCATCCTCATCCTCACCCCTGCTGGGCTGCCAGCCCTGCATGGTCCATGAGCAAGAGCAGTTTATTAGGGCAGGATCAATGCAGCAGCAGAGCTCTGTGTGCCTCCCTCACCCCTGGGAGCCCTCACAGATCTGTGGCTGGCAGCAGACAGCCCCAGCTGCTCTGGGCAGGCTGGGCAGAGCCAAGTTCCTGCCTTTAACCACAGCCTTTGGCATCCAGAAGCACAAATGAGGGCTGCTCTTACTCTGGGGTTTGTTTTCTTTCCAGCTTGAAGACTTGAACTTCCCAGAAATCAAACGCAGGAGGCCAGATGAGAGGAAGGAGGAGGATAAGAAGGAATTCAAGGATCTCTTTGAGCTGGACAGTGACTCTGAGGAGGAGAATGGTGGATTCTCTGTGAAAGGTACAGGGCTGGGGCTGGGCTTGCCTTCTCCTTGTCCACAGTCCCCTTTTCCCTGTCCACAATTCCAGTTTCCTTGTCCACAATCCCCTTTTCCCTGTCCACAGTCCCATTTTCCTTATCCACAGTCCCCTTTTCCCTGTCCACAGCTCCTTTTTCCTTGTCCACATTCCCTGAGCAGGTTCTGTGCATGGCAGGGGCTCCCACCAGCACGGGGACCTTTGGTCCTGTCCTTGCTGCACTTGTGATTTATTGATTTTATTTTATTATTCATTTTATCCTGACTGATGCCCCGAAATCCCGGAGAGCAGGGGCTGATGTCACCTGGGCTGTGACCACGAGAGGGCCACAGTAAATTGTGCAGCCTGCCTGGGAAGTTGAGCACAGAGTTTGGGATAAACCTGGGAGTTCCTCTGGGGTTTGGGATGTTTGGGATGTCCTGGGTGGGTGAGGCAGGAAGGGAGGGGAATCTGCAGCCCCCTGTTGGTGCTGTGGATCCAGGGGAGATGCTGCTGCTGGGCAGGAATTCCAGCAGGATCACACCCCCAGAGTCCCCCAGGGCACAGGAAAGGTCCTGGATGCTGGGAATCCCAGCAGATCAGGGTGGGCTTCCCCTGGAATGGGAAATGTTTGTCAGGCAGGAAAGGATCCCAGGCTGGGGTCTCTGCAAGGGCTGAAGAGGGGAGAAAATCCAGTCTGGGAATCTCTGAGCAGGAAAGAAGCAGCAGCTGGGGAGGCTCCTGCTCTCCTGTGTTTTCCAGCTGGATTTCTGGCAGAAAGGGAAAGCTGGGAATTAGGAATGGCTCAGGAAGAGGTGCTGGGCCCCTGCAGCAAAGGGAAGTGGCTTTGGGGGATATCAGTGAGAAATGAGGAGAAATCTCCCCTGGAGTGAGTCTGGCACTGCTGAGCTCGTGTTCCACTCACACCCTGACACCCCTGCAGGGAAGGGCAGAGCCTCCGATGACAGCTCAGAAGCCAGCAGCAAGGAGTTTGGGGAGGAGGATGATGATGAAGAAGGAAATTACGAAGTGGAGGAGGACGAGGAGGAAGAACTGGAGGAGGACAGCGAGTCAGAGGGTGAGTGGGCAATTCCTGACAGCACCAGGGCAGTGGTGGAGCACTGGGGCTCCTGTTCCTGCCCCAGTGGGGCACTTTGGGCCCCTGTTCCTGCCCCAGTGGGGCACTTTGGGCTCCTGTTCCTGCCCCAGTGGGGCACTTTGGGCTCCTGTTTCTGCCCCAGGGGGGGCACTTTGGGCCCCTGTTCCTGCCCCAGGGGGGCACTTTGGGCTCCTGTGCCCCCTCTGGCGTTGCTGCTGTGCCCAGCCCTGCAGGGCTGCCCGGGATGCATTAACGAGTGCCTGGCAGTAATGAGTGCCTGGCATTAATGAGTGCCTGCCCTGGCAGCCAGGATTGCTGACCCTGTCCCTCTCCCCAGCAGAGGAAGGCAGGGAAGGAGCCCAGGATGCCCAGCAGAGCAGGAGCTGCCCCCGGGGCCTGTCCCGCTCGGACCTGCAGCAGCTGGCACAGGGAGGGGACGACCTCGTGCAGGACCTGGAGTTTTCTGATGAGGACTGAGCACCCCAGCCCTGCCCAGCTGAGCCCTGCAGCACCTGGAGCTGCTGCCAGAGCCAGGAGCACAGGTGGGACCGGCCCCAGGTCCACAACTTGGACTTTGCAACTCAACTTGGACTTCTCCAGCTTTTTCTACCAGTTCTGCTTTTGGTACCAATAAAACCCGAGGCCAAGTCAAGGCCAGTACAAACTGCTCAGCAGAGGGAATAAAAACCCATTCAAATCTGCTAATTTCAATAGCACAGGGTTCACTTCCAGCTCCTGCTGAGTGGGCTGAGCAAGGGCAGGTTCTGTCCAAGGCTCCCCCTCTCTGCCCCAGCAGCCACCCCAGATTCAGCTCTGGGGCCATCACCAAACCCTCCCTGGTGCCCAGAGTGCCTTAAGGACTGCAGAGACTCTGCCAGAGCTTTGCAGCTTCCCTGGAAGCCTTGATCAGTTCAAGCTGCCCCAAGTGTGCTGCAGAAGGAAACTTTAAATTAATGTTTCTTAGGTTAGGGACGTGCAGCCATGAAGGAATAAGGAAAGGCAAAATTGATAATGTAGGAAACACTGCCCAGGTGAGAACTGCACCACCTAAACTATAAAGAAAACATTTTCACTTTGGCAAAGATTTTTAACTTACCTGTTCTTCCCAAAGAGGAAGGAATTCCCTTTTTGTCCTGGCTTTAACTTGGCTGCCTTCTGCCAGCTGGGAACCAAGCCTGGGTGGGATTCCAGGCAGGAATGTGGCAGGAAAGGAAGGACAGAGACTGCTTGGGTAAAGCCAGGTACCATCTGTAAATTAAGGGTTTTTCTTTTTTATTTAAATTGATTGCTGGAAAGCATTTTTATTGTGATGTGATGGATAATGAATTTTTTTTTCCTTTTTTTACAATATAAAGAAGCTAAAGTACCACCAAAGCTATTCTGTAAGAAAAACGGCAGCACGTGCAACGTTTAAACAAAAAACAAACCCAAAAATAAAAAGGGGATGGGGGAGGGAGGAGAGAGAGAGAGACAGAAAAGTACCACATGTGATTGTTGCTCACAACTGTACAAGTCACAGGAGGTCACCCCCAGGAGTTCCCAGCTCATTCACAGTAGTAAAAACTCTGCCCATTGCTTCAGCCTGGCCCCCTCCCCTGCAGCCAGGGCTGGGGGCCCAGGGCTCTGTCTGGTGGTGCTCAGCAGCCAGATGTGCACTCAGCCACCTCTGGAGCAAGCAGCCAGATGTGCACTCACTCATCCACCTCTGGAGCAAGCAGCCAGATGTGCACTCATCCACCTCTGGAGCAAGCAGCCAGATGTGCACTGATCCACCTCTGGAGCAAGCAGCCAGATGTGCACTGATCCACCTCTGGAGCAAGCAGCCAGATGTGCACTCAGCCACCTCTGGAGCAAGGCTGCAAACAAACCCCCCTGAGCTGCAGGAGGAGCCTGGAGCAGCCTCCTCTCCCCCGGAGCACCTGCTGCTCTTGGAACCACACATCCCACGGGGCAATGAATGCAGCCCTGCAGGGCTGGGCACGGGCACAGCCCCTCGGGGGCACTGCCAGGCCCCTGGGCCAGGCCAGGCTGGCTCTGTACCATCTGCACAAAGTAAACATGGACGGGAACTTGCCTTGTGTCTTTGTTTTTTTGTCCTTTTTTTTTTTTGTCTTTTTATCCCTTTTGTCTGTCTTTGGTATTGTTTTCAAAGTTGCTAGAGATGCATAGAACACCTGAATGAGGAAGTGAGCCCAGTTTGCAGGGAGGAGGAGGAGAGCTTGGCTGGGGTGCCTGGGATGGGATTTTTGCTCGAGGTCCCGGCGGGAGCAGCAGAGCCCCTTCCCCTCCGTGTGGAGGCACAGCCCGCAGGTCCTGAAGGCAGAGAGCAGCCTGGCCATGCTTCCTGTGCAGGGCTCTCCAGCTCCACTGAGCACTGGCAGGGAACAGGAATGCTGCCTCCATCCTCCAGCATCCTTCTCTTCACTTGGCGTCGTCCCACGCCAACATCTTTGGATCATTTTCCTTCCTTCCCTTTCAATCTTTTTTTTTTTTTTTTTGACAGTTCAGAAATCTCCGTGGTTCTTCTTTTATTTTCCCCAAACAAATTAAAAAAAGCAAACGCATCCAAAATAAAAAAAAAAAACCAACCCAAAACGAGAACCTTCCTGTGGTGCGGGGCTGGCTCCCGGCCCCGTTAGGACGGGGGTTTGGTGGTGTCGCTGAGCAGGGCGGGGTTCCCGTTCTCCTGCTTCGGGGAGCCCCGGCTGGGCGGGACGGCGCTGCCGAAGGGCGAGGCCACGCTGCCGGTGGAGGCCGGGCGGAGCTCGCCCGGGGCCGCCTCTCGCTCCGGGGGCCGCAGCCCCGGCGGCTGCAGCGGCAGCGCCAGCGGGAACCCGGCCATGTACAGCACCCGGCCCAGCCGCTTGGCCACCTGCGGGAAAAACGGGAAAACACAGCTGAGGGATGGCCGAGGGCAGCACGGGGAAATGGGGGCCAGGAATACCCCAGGGGTTGTGCAGAACACCAGCTCTGGGCTCAGTCCCCAGGGCTGCTGCCAGAGACGTTCTCCCATCCCTGGATGTGTTCAAAGCCAGCCTGGACAGGGCTTGGAGCGCCCTGGGACAGTGGAAATTGTCCCTGCCCATGGCAGGGGTGGCACTGGACGGGACTGGTGTTCTATGAACAGCACTGGAATGGAGCAATCCCATTCCCAGAGCACCTGAAAAGCAGAGCAGGGAAGTTTCCTCCTCTCCTTTCCTCAAGGATTTTGTCCTGCAGTCCTGCCCCCTTCCCCATGGGCACTTCAACAGGGCCCTGCTCTTCAAAGGGCCAAGGCAGGGAGGGAAAATAAAACTGCTGAACCTCTCCCTCCTGCAGCAGCTCCTGCCTCCCTCCCAGCACCTCCACAGCTGCTTCCCATTTGAGCTTAAACAAAACCAGGGGCTGCTGCTGGACCCAGACAAGTGGGACATTATTCAGGGAGCAGCATCAGGGCTCTGCTCCCCCCCAGCCCTGCCTGGTTACACAACTTTAAACACTATTGATGAAATTGAAGGCATTTTTCAAGCTCGTATCTCACATTCCCCCCGCCCCAAGCCCCATCTCTGAGCTGTTCAGGGCTCTCTTGTTTTTTAAGGAACATAAGAGTTTTATTTCCTCCTGAATTGACCCACGGGGAACAATTGCCCACAGACCCTTTTTACGAGCCCCCTCATAAACAGGGAGGGCTGCAGGGAAAGCAGTAAAGCCTCTCATTGTTCCAAGGCAGCACGAGCAGCGTGGGCCTGGGGAGCTGTGCCAGGGCTGGACACAGCCCCCAGGGGACAGGAGGGATCTTCCCAGCACTCAGAGGGAAAGGACCCAGCAGAGATGCTCTGGCTTGGAGTCCCACTGAGGGGAGGAGGAACGGAACTGCTGTGGCTGGAACCAGCCCACTGAGAGCTTCCCACTGCTGCATCCCTGTAATTCCCTCACTGCATCCCTGTTAATCCCTCACAGCATCCCTGGTATTCCCTCACTGCATCCCTGTAATTCCCTCACTGCATCCCTGGTATTCCCTCACAGCATCCCTGGTATTCCCTCACAGCATCCCTGGTATTCCCTCACTGCATCCCTGGTATTCCCTCACTGCCTCCCTGGTATTCCCTCACTGCACCCCTGGTATTCCCTCACTGCATCCCTGTTAATCCCTCACAGCATCCCTGGTATTCCCTCACTGCATCCCTGGTACTCCCTCACTGCATCCCTATTAATCCCTCACTGCACCCCTGGTATTCCCTGCCACCACTCATCCTGGACTATTTATTTCTGCCCCTGGGCATGGAATTCTGTCAGTGGTTTCTCCCTGAAACAGCTGTGACAGCTTTCAGCTGAGGATTTCTCCCTCAAACATCTGTGACAGCTTCCAGGTGAGGCTATGGAACATTTTCAAGGACAAGTAAAGCGTTCTTGAAACAGAATTGCAACTGAATTATTGCTTAATAAATGACATTCCATAAAGCACGTTTGTGGACAGCCCAGGGACAGCTTCAGATGGTGTCACCTGTTCTGGGAGAGGAGATTTTCCTACCTGTGACCTGATCTTCAGGGCAGGTCCCAGCTTGAGCCCCATGTTGTTCAGTAAGTGCTCTTCTGTCAGGAGGGGCAGGGTCTCCCCATCGATGGCCTGCTCTCGGAATACCTGAGGGGACACACAGGGACACGCCTGAGCCACCCCTGCTGCTGCCCTGGCACTGTGGAAAGGTGAACCCAAAACCCCTCAGCCTGGATTTATCCCCCAGGGGTGTTTCCAGCCCTGGAGCCATCCCTCTGGAGCCAAGGGGATTTTTATTGCAAAGAGCTGCTGCTCTTGGACCCAGCACAGCTCACTGCAGCCATTCCCATTCCCTTCCCCTCCTCTGCAGGAGCCAAAACCCTCCCTGAAACACTCCACAAAAAGCCTGGACTTGGGAAAAGCATCCCCTGGGGTGTCCCCAGCTCCAGTGCAGAGACAAAGCTGAACCCCAGCCAGGCCAGGGCAACTCTGAGTTGTGCTGAAGTTTCCTGAGATGTGATTCTGCAATCACAGCATTCCAGGGAATCCTGCAGGAATCTCCTGGTTCTGGAATCACAGCATTCCAGGGAATCCTGCAGGGTTTTCCTGGTTCTGCAATCACAGCATTCCAGGGAATCCAGCAGGGCTCTCCTGGTTCTGGGATCACAGCATTCCAGGGAATCCTGCAGGGTTTTCCTGGTTCTGCAATCACAGCATTCCAGGGAATCCTGCAGGGTTTTCCTGGTTCTGGGATCACAGCATTCCAGGGAATCCTGCAGGAATCTCCTGGTTCTGCAATCACAGCATTCCAGGGAAGCTCACATCAGGAGGCCCCATCCCACCCCTTGGCTGGCAGCAAGTTCAGCAATCCACCATGAGGATAAAAGGCAGGAAAGCCCCACAGGGCTCTGAGATGCAGCTCCCAGGAAGGCCCAGCCCAGCTGGGGGGGAACAGGACCCCCAGGGAACGAGGAGGCTCCTGCCAGGACCTCGTGGATGTACCTGAGTGTACTCAGTGCAGCCAGACAGGCTGGACACGAAGCTGCACACGTCCTCCACCGTCCATTTGCTGATGTCCTCCAGCGCTGGGCTCTCCTCCCCATCCAGAAACAGACCTCCCATGGTGCCTGCGTTGTGGGAAGGAGGGGAGGAGAAGGGAACATAAATCATTAAAATCCCACACGGACAACAAGCAGCCTGCAATCTGAATATTTGTCTCTAGCCACACATTCATCTTTAATGACCTGTCAATTAAAGCACTGGGCAGGGTCAATTCATGGGCCTCTTCCTCCTGGAGGTCCCTGGCTGGGGGAGGGAAGGAAAAATCCCAGCTAATGCATTTCATGTGTTCAATGCTCCTCAGCTGCGGGGGAAGCAGGGAGGGCAGGGCAGCACGGAGCCTGCAGCAGTTTGTGCACACAGAGCACAGAGCCCTGCCTGCCCCGGGGCTCCTGCAACGTGCCAGGAATGACAACAGGAGCCAGGAATGACAACAGGGAGCTCCTGCCCCTTGCCAGGGCTGGAATGGCACCAGGGATCAGCCAAGAGTGATCACTGGGGAGCTCCTGCTCCTTCCCAGGGCTGGAATGGCACCAGGGATCACTGGGGAGGCTCCTGCTCCTCCCCAAGGCTGGAATTCCAGCAGGGATCACTGGGGAGCTCCTGCTCCTTCCCCAGGGCTGGAATGGCACCAGGGATCACTGGGGAGCTCCTGCTCCTTCCCCAGGGCTGGAATGGCACCAGGGATCAGCCAACAGGGATCACTGGGGAGCTCCTGCCCCTTGCCAGGGCTGGAATGGCACCAGGGATCACTGGGGAGCTCCTGCTCCTTCCCCAAGGCTGGAATTCCAGCAGGGATCACTGGGGAGCTCCTGCTCCTCCCCAAGGCTGGAATTCCAGCAGGGATCACTGGGGAGCTCCTGCTCCTCCCCAGGGCTGGAATTCCAGCAGGGATCACTGGGGAGCTCCTGCTCCTCCCCAGAGCTCGAGTTCCACCCTGCCCAGCCTGAGCTGTGCCCTGGCTGGGGCTGTGCTGTCCCTGGCACACCGAGGGTGTCACACAGAGGGTGTGACAGGGGCTGGGGCAGCCCCCCTGGCCCTGCAGCCTGACAGAGCACTCAGAGAAATCCCAAAGGGAGCCAGGGACAGGCACAGGGGGTGGAAATGGTGACAGGAACACTCAGAGCTGCTGTGGGGGAAAGGTGAGGACACGGAACAAACCAAATCCCACAAAATGCCTCTTTAGGGTGGGGGAAAGCCAACACCAACCCCTGGAACTGGCTGCTGGGGGCTGTTTGGACCAGCAGAGCATGAGGACATTTATAGGGATGAGAACATCCAGGATTCTCAGGCAGGGAAAGAGTTTATGAGGGGTATGAGCTGCTCTGCTCAGCGCATGGAGAATGGAATTGCCAGGAGAAAAATATTGCTCCCAGGAGCCTGTCATGACAAAATTATCTGTCCTGTGGGCCTGGGGCTTCTCCCTCGTGGATTAGATGGATGTAACCCTTGCTCCTGCCCACAGCTGTGGCACAGCACAAGGGAAAAACAGATAAAATAAAGCCATGGAGGGGAGCACAGGCCAGGGAGCAGCCAATTCCCTGGGGAATACCCCAGGGCTGAGGGAACAGGCAGGGGAAGGAGCAGGGCCACACAGCAGGGCCCCACACGCTCCCTATGGAGCCTCCAGCACATGCAGGGAAGCAGGAGAAGCTCGGGCTCTGCAGGGGCAGTTCCGGTGCCAGGGAGATGCTTTAAAGCAGCAGAGCCTGCCCGGGGAGCAGGCACAGCCTCTGCAACCATTCCCACCCATTTCCCTCCCCACTGCCTGCTCCCCTGGCTGCCCTGCAGCTGCACCCCTCAGCCTGGGCAGGGCACAGCTCTGGGGGCTCACCCAGAGCCACAGCGCCCCGTGATCTGTGTCACAGTGCCCTGTGATCTGTGATCTGTGTCACAGCACCCTGTGATCCGTGATCTGTGTCACAGGCACAGTGCCCTGTGATCCCTGTAACAGGCACAGCCACAGTCACAGCCACAGCCACAGCACCCTGTGATCCCTGTTACAGGGATCCATGGTGCCAGGGATCCATGGTGCCAGGAATCCATCCTGCCAGGATTCCATTGTGCCAGGATTCCATCGTGCCAGGAATCCACTGTGCCAGGAATCCACTGTGCCAGGAATCCATGGTGCCAGGAATCCATTGTGCCAGGAATCCATCCTGCCAGGAATCCATCCTGCCAGGAATCCATGGTGCCAGGAATCCATGGTGCCAGGAATCCATTGTGCCAGGAATCCATCCTGCCAGGAATCCATGGTGCCAGGATTCCATCCTGCCAGGAATCCATGGTGCCAGGTGTCCCCGGCACAGCCCAGACACAAGCACAGCCCATTCACAACCCCCTCCCTCCCCCTGAGCTGCTCCAGAAACAGAAGCCAGGGGCTGGAGGGGCCATGGAGAGCAGAGCTGGAGTGGCCCCGCACCACAGGGCACAGCAGAGCCTGCGCTCCTGGCACCACGGGGCACAGCCTGGGCACACAGTGCCAGCCTGGCTGCCAGCCCACCCCTGGGCTCCATCAGCCTTGTCCCCAGCCCCTGAGCATCCCCTGAGCACCCCCTGGGTCCCCCGGCGAGGGCTGGGGTCAGGAGCAGCACAAGGCTGCGTTAATTGCTCTCCAGACTGCAATCAATAGAAGGATTTTAGCCTCCTGCACACTCCATCCTTCACCTCTTCCAGAGGACGGGGCTGCAGAGGGCCCTGGGAGGAGGAGGAGGAGGAGGAGGAGGAGGCTGCTGAAACCTTGAGGAGATGAGGTCATTGAGCCACAGCCCCAGAAAGCAGCTCTGGGAATGGAGCTGGCACGGCAGGGACAGAGCAGGGACAGGGCAGGGACAGGGCAGGGACAGAGAGAGCAGGGACAGAGCAGGGACAGAGCAGGGACAGACAGAGCAGGGACAGAGCAAGGACAGGGCAGGGACAGACAGAGCAGGGACAGGGCAGGGACAGGGCAGGGACAGACAGAGCAGGGACAGGGCAGGGACAGGGCAGGGACAGAGCAAGGACAGAGCAGGGACAGGGCAGGGACAGGGCAGGGACAGAGCAGGGACAGACAGAGCAGGGACAGGGCAGCTCCTCCTCCTCCACCTGCCTCAAACTCCGTGCCCTCCTCAGCTGGATGCTTCTCCCTTCTCCTCTCCTCCCTCCAGCTCTCCCTGCCTTGGCTGGGTGGTGATTCTCTAATTCCAGTCTCCAGGTTAGGGTACAAGCTCCCATCCCTCCTGAGGGAGCAGCCCCTGTGCAAAAAGGGGTTCAGGAGTTGTGTGACATGGGGGAGAGGTGGGTGCAGCCCTGCCTGCCTGCCCCGGGGTGCTTTGTGCTCCCCCAGAGCCACAGAACACATCTGTCACCCATCCCAGGATGGCTGCAGCCCTTGGATCAATACAACCCTCGGTATTTCAGCTGCTGAACTCGCACCTCAAACCCTGGTGCTGCATCCTCCACACCCCCCTGTCCTCCCAGGGCTTTGCAGGTGGGAGGGTTTGCTCTGGAGCAGCACAAACCCTCAGGGAGAGCAGCCCCATGCTGTGTTAAACCAGCCAGAAGGCAAAGAGCCCTCAGGAAAAGACCCCCAGCCCTGGCACAGGCTGCACAAGCCAGGGGAGGAGAGCAGGGAAACCCAGCCCGGAGCTGTGCTGGTGATATAAATCCAAAGTGATGATAATAAATGGGCTATTACAGCATCTCACACACTGCTCAGGGAGGGAGGGAGGGCAGCCAGCCCCAGCCCAAGCTCCCCACAGAGCCAGGAGCACCAGGAGCTGAGCCCAGCCTCTCTAATGGCCGGGAGGAAAAGGCTCCTGCAGGAAGGCTGGGCAGCCCGAGGCAGCAGGAATATTCATCATCCTGGCCACCTGCCTGTCGCTGAAAAATTGCTTCCTCCTTGCTGGCTGGGAGGCAGCTCTAATGAGGGATGGGCAGCCTGCTCACAGGCACAGCACGGCACAGCACGGCACAGCACGGCACAGCATGGCACAGCATGGCACAGCATGGCATGGCACAGCATGGCACAGCATGGCACAGCATGGCATGGCACAGCATGGCACAGCATGGCATGGCACAGCACGGCACAGCATGGCATGGCACAGCATGGCATGGCACAGCATGGCACAGCATGGCACAGCATGGCATGGCATGGCACAGCATGGCACAGCATGGCACAGCATGGCACAGCATGGCACGGCACAGGCCCCCTCTCCCTCCCCGTGTGCCCTGCCTCCTGCTAATTGCTCTGCCAGGTAATTAGCTGGGGCAGGTTTGGGTTCTTGGCTGGGCTGGCAGGGCCCCCTGGGTGTGAGACCCCATTTGTGCCACCCCCTGCTCTGCAGTGAGAGCAGAGGGCGGGCAGTGACCTCCCTGTCTGTCTGTCTGTCTGTCCCATCCAGCGCAGCTCCCCCAGTGCCTGTGACACCGCAAGGCACACAAAGAGCCCCTGCCCTGGAAAAGAGCACCTGGGAACCAAGGCCATCAAACCCAACCTTTGCCCACCTTGTCCCCAGCTCAAAGCGCCACATCCATCCTTCCCTGGACACTTCCAGGGCAGCCCTTCCAATGCCCAACAACCCTTTCCATGCACAAACTCTTCCTTTAAAGCCAAGAGAACCTCACAAAGCAACCATGAGCAAAGGGCAGAGCCCCCATTCCAGCCCTGCCCCATCCCACCACCTCCACAGCCTCACCTGCATGGACGTAGGGGCCCTTGGACATTCCAGGGATGGTGACACCACCACCACCACCACCACCTCCCTGGGCCCTTCCAATGCCCAACCACCCTGTCCATACAGAAACTCTTCCTTCAGAGACAAGAGAAGCTGACAAAACAACCACAAGCACGAGCAGGGAGCCGAACGCCCATTCCAGCCCTGCCAAGCCCATCCCTGCCCCATCCCAGCGCCTCCCCAGCCTCACCTGCATGGAAGTAGGGGCTCATGGTGTAGGGGAAGCCGAAGGGCAGCGGCTGTGGCGCGGGCAGGGAGGTCGGGGGCAGGTATTTCACCTCGGCCTTGCCCATGGCGGGCCCCAGCAGGTGGCTGGGGGACTCTGCGCTGGAGGAGCTGCAGGGCACCGTGCCGGGCGCCGTGCCCGCCTCGCCTGCCTCCTTGGCCGCCTCGCCCGCCTTGCCCGCGCCGCCGTCCTTGCCCTCCTTCAGCTCCGCCGCCGCGCCGCCCTCGCCCTTCAGCCCCTCGGCCTTGTCCTCGCCGTCGCTCTCCGAGTCCTTCATCTCCTCATCGTTACAGTCCTGGGCGCCGTCGCGGCCCGGCCGCGCGTCCCGCGGCTCGCCGGGGCCCTGCGGCTCGGCGCGGGGCTGCGAGGGGCCCTTGCGGCCCGCCCGCCGCGGCTGCTCCTTGGGCGGGGGTGGCGGCGCCGCCGGCGCTCAGGGACAGCAGCGGGGCGTTGTTGTGGCGCAGCACCAGCATGGCGTTGCGGCGGGACAGCTCGTCCCGCAGCGCCTGGCCCTCGGGGACATCGTGCACGCTGCGCAGCGCGGGGTGGTCCGGGGGCAGCCCCGGGTGCAGGCTCAGCGGGTCCGCGGCCAGCAGCCTCTGCCGGTGAAGGTTCTCCAGCTCCTTCTGGCGGATCAGCTCGGCCGACATCTCCAGCCTGCGTGGGGAGAGGGGATTGTGGTGAGGGGTTGGGGGAATGTGGTCCCACCAGGTGGGAGCCAGGTGGCACCTCCACACCCAGCTGACATCTCCAGCCTGCGTGGGGAGAGGGGATTGTGGTGTGGGATTGGGAGAACATGGTCCAACCCAGCCCTGCAGGAGCCAGGTGGCACCTCCACACCTGACATCTCCAGCCTGCATGGGGAAAGTGGATTTTGGTGGGGAGTTGGGGGAATGTGGTCCCAACCCAGCCCTGCGGGAGCCAGGTGTCACCTCCACACCCACACAGGCCTCACTGGGACCCTGCTGTGCCATCTCCACCCAGCCCAGCCCACAGCAGGACATACCCAGCCCTTTCCACTCCTACCTGGCCAGGTTTTGCTTCCGTAGCATCTCCTGCTGCCGTGCAAACATCTCTGCCTGTGCCGGCTGGAGGAAGCCGTAACCTGGGCAGGGAGAACACTGAGGGTCACTCCTGTCAGCACTGACCCTTGGCTGCCCCAGGGCCAGCTCCCCAGGGGGAAAAAGGACACCTGAGTGCTGCTTTTTGTTCCAGAGCCCATCTGTCCCCCTCACTGCCACAGCAGGAATGCAGGGCCAGGAGGAGCAGCCAAGGAATCTGCTGCTCTGGCTGCAGAACCAGGGGGACGTTGGCACAGCAGCCATGGGGAGACACAGCAATGTGTGTGGCTGCAGGACACGCTGTCCCAGGCTGCCCCTCTGCCCTGCCCTGGTGTCACCTGAGCGCTCACCTGGCGTCTGGCACAGTGCTGAAGGCACCCCGAGGAAGGGAGGTCTCAAGTGGGGCCCCAGGGCGATGTGGGGAGCGTTCTGGGGCGACAGCAGAGGCGGTGGGTGGGAGATCTCCCTGCAGGAATCACAAAATAAAGCCCTGTTGGAAACCTGGAGGCTCCGAAGGGCTCAGGAAGAACATCTTGGCTGCAGATGAGCTGCATCCTGCCCCACAGGCTCTCTCTGCCTCCTCACCCTCATGCAGAGCTTCTAAAGTGGAGAGAAAAAACCAAAAGAGTAGAACCAAAAGGGGAAGAAAACAGCCAGGACTCCACAGGTCCCACACATTTCCCACCTTTGCTCCTGTGGCCTTTCAGCCAGGCTGTCCAAAGGATTTTCCCTGGCAGCTCAAAGGGGAGGGCTGAGGATGCTCCATCTGCCCCTCCCTCATCACATTTGGGTTTCTGCCTCCACTACTTCACACCTGAGAAGGAATTCTGTGCTTGGGGAGTAGGTTTGGGAAGACCTGGAGGTATCGCTGGCCTGCCTTGCAAACAACCCCTGTCCTGTCCTAGCTGGGCTAAGGGATGACCTTAAATTGTGGAGAGGAAAGCTGAAGTGAGGCAGAGGGAAATGCAGACAGGAGAGGGATGTGAGCAGGAAGGGCAGTGGGGAAGGAATCCTGGTGGGTAAAACCAGGCAGAATGGGCAGAGCAGATGCCAGGGGCTGGGGAAACTCAGAGAGGCAGGACTGGGTGGTGGGAAGGGGACAATCCTGGAGAGAGGCAGGGAGCACTTGCAGCAGCAGGGAAAGCAGGAATAAAAAAAAAGGCAGGAAGGGAATAAGAGCCAAGGTCTCTTCCATTAGTCAAATCTGCCCTGGGAGCCTGCAAGCAAATCTGCTTTCCGGCTGCACGTCTCTTAATTCCTTTTGATGGCCACTTACAACATTATTACCTTCAGCAGGGCATCCAGAGGCACAGCCAAGTGCCGGGCCGTTTATTTTCATTTTACAGTATCTCCCTGGAAAAATCTGCTCTGGGAGAGGCTGGAGGCCAAGGCACAGGGAGGCAGAAGGTGCCTGTGACTTTGCAACAAACACAGCACGTGCAGAGGCGCTGCTGTGAGGGGATAACAACGGCAGCATCCTGGCCATCCATGGATCAGCCTGTGGGCATGGATCAGATCGTGGGAATGATCAGGTCATGGGCATGGATCAGATTGTGGGAATGGATCAGGTCATGGGCATGGATCAGGTCATGGGCATGGATCAGGTCATGGGCATGGATCAGATTGTGGGCATGGATCAGGTCGTGGGCATGGATACCTCATGGAAATGGATCAGCTCATGGAAATGATCAGCTCATAGGAATGGATCAGCTCGTGGAAATGGATCAGAGCATGGAAATGGATCAGAGCATGGAAATGGATCAGGTCATGGACATGGATCAGCTCATGGAAATGGATCAGCTCGTGGGAATGGATCAGCTCGTGGGAATGGATCAGCTTGTGGGCATGGACAGCTCATAGGAATGGATCAGCTCATGGGCATGGATCAGCTCGTGGCCATGGACAGCTCATAGGAATGGATCAGCTCATGGGCATGGATCAGCTCATAGGAATGGATCAGATCATGGGCATGGATCAGCTCATGGCCATGGACAGTTCATAGGAATGGATCAGATCATGGGCATGGATCAGCTCATAGGAATGGATCAGATCATGGGCATGGATCAGCTCATGGCCATGGACAGCTCATAGGAATGGATCAGCTCATGGGCATGGATCAGCTCATGGAAATGGATCAGCTCATAGGAATGGATCAGCTCATGGGCATGGATCAGCTCGTGGCCATGGACAGCTCATGGCCAGCCAACCAAGGGCTCCTGGGCACGAAGTGAGCGAGGAGAGCCCTTCCCAGCTCCGCTTTACCCCATCCCACGCATCCCCTGCACTCCCCCTCCCCAGTCCCTCTACTCCCGGTGCCCACGGCCCCCTCCCTCCCCGCCCGCCATCCCCGCGGCCTCTCCCGGCTCCGTCCCCCTCCTCCCTGGCTCTGCCCTAACCTAATTGCGGCCCCGGCGGTGTCTGGAGGCGCGGCGCGGATCGATCGCGGCTGCTGCAATGTTAATGCCGCCCGCGCGCCGCTGGCAGCTCCAATTAATCTCAGGTAACGCCGCGCTCGACCTTCGCCTCCGAGCCGGGGCAGCAGCCAAGCGATGCTTATGTAATTACACCGTGAAGTGTGTAATCACCTGCCCTAATCCCCGAGGCCTCGCAATTAGCCGGGGCCGCGGTCGCCGGGCTGCCAAGTGCTGCTGCCACCCGGGCCGGCCCCGCGGATGAATGAGGGACAATTAAAGCGGCGTGACGGGGGCTCCGAGGTGTCCGCTCGATCGTAATTAGCTGTAATCACGGCGAGACGAGCCTGGCAGACGTGCTGGTCGTTTTATAAGAAGCAATTTAGGAAATCAAGTCGCTGTTAACCATGGCGTGGCCGCGCCCTCCTTCCCCCGCCTGCCCTGGGGATGTGCAGGATGCTGTGGGACACCCAGGCTGCCCGGGGCAGCTCCAGAACAAGGGAGCTCCTTGGTTGGTGCCAGTCTGTGCCCAGGAAGCAGGGGGTGGGATGGGATCAGGGCTGGGTACTGCAAAAGGAGAGGCTCTCCCGTGGTGGGAGCCCAGTGCTTCCTCCCAGGTTGTTTTGATGCTTTCATGCTGTGCTACAGGGCATGACTTTGATCCCTGAGGAACTCACATCTGCTCCAGACTCTGCAGTTCAGAGCTGCCCTGCCTTCCTGGGCCAGGCAGAGCCCTGGGGAGCCCCTCAGCTGTGGGACACGAGGGACAGACCCTCTGTGCCACCCCACAGAGCCCCCCACGGGCACAGAACCTGCTGGAGCCTGCCCTGCTCCCTGCCAGCCCCTCTGCCCAGCCCTGGCATGGGGAGCTGGCACAGGAGGGAGGCAGCAGCTCCAGGTCGTGCCCTGGCACGGGGCTGGGCACCCTCCCAGCCAGCTGGAAAAAGAACTGGCAAGGCCAGAGCACAAAGGCCCCGAGAGCTCAACAAAGGCTGCTGTGCCTTCAGCCAGGTGTGCAGCACACACTGATCCTGCGGCCTCTCCCAGGTACCTGCCGGCCTCAGATCCCCCATCAAATTCCCAAATTCCTTCCTCCTCTTCCTCCACGGCTCAGAGTCAGGATTGCAGTGCCCAGCTCTGAGGAGGTGAATTTAGCCCCAGGCAATTACATCTGATAAGCCCTGTCCTTCCCTGGAAGAGAGCAATTCTGTGCTGCTCACATTCCTCCCCCTGCCCCCTTTTCCTTTCCCCCCCTGAAATGCCAGCTGGAGGCTTGTGAGCAGGGTATTAGGGGATTTGCACTGCACGCTGCTAAATTTGATATGTCCTTTAACAGGAGACAAATGGTTCGCAAGGCTTAAAAAGTATCGACTTTTCTTTAACAATAAGCACTAATGGCCTTCAAATAATCAATATTTAAAGTCATTATGGGGTTACACATTATACTGTTAAAACCAAGCCTTTCACTTTAACCCCATCATATCCTCCCCAGGCTGGAGCAGAGCTCCCCCCTGGCTGGAGCCAGGCTCTGGGGGAAGGCTGGGAGCACAGGCTGTGACTGGAGATGTGAGAGGGTCAGGAAATGCAGATTGAAACCGGCAAGGCATGGAAATAAATTTAGAACGGATGGAAGAAGAGGGAAGGGAGGGGGGGAAAGAATGCATGAAGGCTCTGCTTTCTTCTGCTCTGCATTTGATAGGAAGAGACACTTTAAACCCGAGGTAACAGGCAGGAGGCACAGAGCTCCTGGCTGCTCTGCCATCCCCAGACACTGCCAGCAAGGGAGAATAAATAAAATCAAAGGCCTTGCTAGAAATGCTGCTTGGGATTTCCAGGCAGGAAAAGAACATGTGCTGGCACTGGAGAGGGGCTGGTTTGTCCTGCCCCCTCAAAATCCAAACTGCTGCTGAAACCAAACTGCTTAAACCAGGGCAAGCTCTGCTTTGGCCTTTGCTCTGCAGCACCTTCAGCCAGGTGGGAACCAGGGAGGAGGGATCCTGGCAGGGCAAAAATCAGAACATCAGAGCCTTCAGAGAGGAGAGGGGGACACAGGGCAGGGGTGGGTGAGAGCAGGAGAGAGATGGTGCCCACAGAGGGCAGGAGCTGTGCCCACAGAGGGCAGGAGATGGAGCCCACAGAGGGCAGGAGATGGAGCCCACAGAGGGCAGGAGCTGTGCCCACAGAGGGCGGGAGATGGTGCCCACAGAGAGGGCAAGAGATGGAGCCCACAGAGGGCAGGAGATGGTGCCCACAGAGGGCAGAGATGGTGCCCACAGAGGGCAGGAGCTGTGCCCACAGAGGGCAGGAGCTGTGCCCACAGAGGGCAGGAGATGGAGCCCAGAGAGGGCAGGAGATGAGCCCACAGAAAGGGCAGGAGATGGTGCCCACAGAGGGCAGGAGAATGGTGCTCACAGAGGGCAGGAGATGGTGCCCACAGAGGGCAGGAGCTGAGCTCACAGAGGGCAGGAGCTGAGCTCACAGAGGGCAGGAGATGGAGCCCACAGAGGGCAGGAGATGGAGCCCACAGAGGGCAGGAGATGGAGCCCACAGAGGGCAGGAGATGGAGCCCACAGAGGGCAGGAGATGGTGCCCACAGAGGGCAGGAGCTGAGCCCAAGGAAGCAGCAGGAAAAAGGAAAACCTCCTCAGAGCAGGGGGAAGGGATGAGGCGGTGGAAGAACAAACCGCAGCAACAGCAGATGGGAGGAAGGGAATCCAAGAAGCCAGGCTGGGTATTTTGGGCACATCTCTGCTCAGAGGAAGCCTCTGGCTGGTGCAGGGTCTGTCAGGCCCTGCAGGGGAGGCAGGGGTGCCTCTCTCGGGCTCCCAGCCCCAGCTCAGCCCTGCCAAGGGGCTGGGCCTCCCAGGAGCCCGGGCTGGGGGTGCTGCTGGCACCTCAGCCTGGCACATTCCGTGCTCCTGGCACTCCTGCTGCCTCCCCGGCTCCTGGGGGATGAGCTGTGCTCCCCCTGCCTGCTCAGAGCCCTCTGCTTGTGCCAACACCTGCCTCAGCACCTGCCTGGCCCTGCCCTCTTCTCCCCTGAGAGGGGCAGGCACAAAAACCAATTCCCAACAGCTGCCAGCACAGAAAAGTGCACCAAACACGGCCAAGGAGCTTCACATCAGTGAGCAGAGAGTCCAGCACAAAAACCCAGCCCTGCCCCAGTTCCTCTGCAGCCCCAGTGAGCAGAGAATCTAACATCTCACCCAGCCCTGCCCCAGCCCCTTCTCTGTGCAGGGCATGAGAGATTTTCCCCTCAAGAGGAATTTTTCCCCAGGCTCCCCCCAGAGAGAAGCAGGGATGAGCTCCTCGGGGAGGAACACTCCAGGCTGAAGGAGCCCAGCAGAACTTGGCCAACAAATCCTGGAGGCAGCAGCCAAGGAGCAGCATCCCAGCAGCTCTGCGGGGTACAGCCACCTGCCAGCCCTGCAGGAGAGGCAGCAGCGTGCAGATGGAAGAGCTCCAGGCTGGAGTGGTTACAGTGGCACCTTTCAGTTGTACCCTCTCCTCTTCCAAGTCTTTTTATAACACTGAACTCAAGCATTTTCCCAAACAGACCACCAGGCCCTGGCATCCCAGCTGAACCCATCTCCAGAGGATCCAGGAAACCAAAACCACGAAACCAAATGAATTCTCCAGACTGTGCCTTGGGTCTGCTTTTGGCAAGATGTCTCAGTTTCACTGACTCCAGGGAGCAAAGAGACGAAGGGATCACTGCCACAACCACGACCTTGGCCCAAGAAAATCCACAGCCGTGTGTTTGTGTGCCTCATCCCCACACACCCAACCTCCCAGCCCCTTTCTGACCAGCAAAGATGCAATAATTAATTAATTAACGGCACCCCTGGACCTCCCCACGCTCAGCCCACCCCTCCTACAGCAGCACCTCCCCGTGAGCAGCCTCCAATTAATTAATAATTAATTAATTAATGGCACCCCTGGGTTTATCTGGACATCCCCGTGAGCAGCCTCCAATTAATTAATAGTAAATTAATTAATGGCACCCCTGGGTTCATCTGGACCTCCCCAGGAGCAGCCTCCACCCTCCCGTGGATGCTTTTGCAGGCAGCCCTGGGGCCGGGCTGGCTCCTCTCCAGCCCACACAGCGCTGGGGAAACGCGGCTGCAGGAGGCTCCTCCATCCCTGCATTCCTCCCAGGTCTGCTCAGGAGCTGGGATTTATGGGCTGGGTTAGCCAAAGTACACGCTGTGGGAGAGAGAGAGGCTTCCAGGGCTGCCCGGCCCCTCCACAGTGCAAAGGTGTTGCTGGGAGAGCAGGAAAACCAGACAGGATCTCCAAGGCTCTGAATGGGGGAAATTCTGGGCTCAGCACATCCACGCACACACTGCAGAGCTGGTAGTGCAGCCTGCTCTGCCCCCAGCCCCACACCAAAGCCGAGAGAAGTGGAAATGCCAGAGCCTTTCAGTGCTCATCCCATGACATCCACAGCCCCTGCATCCCCACAGCCCCCTCCTGTCCCTCCATCCCTGTCAGGAACGCACACAGCTTTAATTTAATTTCCCTCTGAAGTTCTTGATTGCAGAGGGAATGGCTCGTGGCACAGAGCAAGATAAATGAGCTACAATTTCCTGGGGGTGGGGGATATCAGCTTTCCAGCACTCCTAGCAGTGGGAGAGGCAAGCTGAGGCTCTTTTCCCTAACAAAGAAAACTTCTCCTCTTTCTGTTCCACCTCAGAGCATTTCTCCTCTCTCATTATCTGGGGATGCTACGAAATGCAAACTTCAACACCTCAACTTGCTCTGTGCCTACAAACAGGGGAGAGCGGCACCTCCAGCACAGGTTTGGGATCATCCCAGCCTGGCACTCGCTCCTCTGGATGTGGATGCAGATCAGCACAGGCAGAGATTCCCCCCTTTCCATAGAGATACCCCAGAGTGGGGCAGGAGCATCCCCAGCACCTGCACAACCCCCAGAGGAGATGGTCACACCTTGCCCAGACAAACCAGCTCTGCCCAGCTCAGAATTACACAGCCCCAAATTCTGGAAAAGCCCTCAAAAATCACCGAGTCCAGCCACCATGGACACCACCAAACCACGTCCCCAGTGCCACATCCACACGCTTTTTGAACACTTCCAGGGACGGCGACTCCCAAACTGCCGATCCCACCCCACCCCAGCCCATCCCAGCCCTCCCGGCCCCGCAAACCCCGCCCCGGGGCCGTGCCCGGTACCTGTCGGGGAAGTGGCTGTCCCTGTGCTGGGGCAGGCCCTGCTTCCTGCGCTGGCTGGACGAGTTGCTGGCCGAGGGGATGTGCGCTTCCATCGCGCCCGGGGTCCGCGCCGCCGCCGCCGCCGCCACCTCCTGCCGCGCCCGGAGCAGATCTGGGGACAGCGGGGAACGGTCAGGAGCTGCTGGAGGAGCTGCTGGAGGAGCTGCTGGAGCTGCTGCCGGCCAGCCCCGAGCCCGCTCCCCAGCCCCGACCCCGCCGGACACGCACACACGGACACGCACACACGGACACACACACACGGACACGCACGCGGACAGACACACGGACACGCACACACGGACACGCACACACGGACACGCACACGGACACGCACACGGACACGCACACACGGACACGCACACACGGACACACACGGACCCGCTGTGCCCCGGGGCCGCTCCCGGCCGTGCCCGCAGCCCCCGGCGGCTCCGCTGTCCCCCCCTTTGCCGGGGCCGTCCCCCCTTCCCCGGGGCCGTCCCCCCTTCCCCGGGGCCAGCCCGCGGCTCGGGGCGGCTCTCGGGCGCCGGGGCGGCGGCGGAGCCCGGCGGGGAGCGGCGGCCCCGGCTCCGAGCGGCTCCGGGCGCGATCCGCCCCCGCCGCCCTGGGAGTTCGGCGGCGGAGGAAATTGTGCAACTACGGCAGGGGGGTGGATTTGCGGCTTAATTGCCTTCCTGCCGGAGGGAGGGAGGCAGGGAAGGAGCGGAAAAAAGGGAGGGAAGGATGGAAGGAGGGATGGATGGAAGCGAGCAGAGCGGGAGCAGAGCGAGGCATTCCCCGCACTCCCTCTCCCGGCCGGTCCCGAGCGGAGCCGCGCTCGCACCTGCCCCGCTCCCGCCGGGGCTACCGGGGCTCTCTGTGCCCGGGACCCCCGTGGGCTCTGCAGCGCTGAACCCGCCCAGGACGGGGCAGGGCTGGGCCCCGAGCAGCTGAGCGTGGGGTACAGAACGGGACCCCCCTCCCAGCCCGAGCAGTCCTGGGGCCAGCTGCAGGTGAGAAGGAAACGCAGCCCTTGTTCAGCCTGCACTGCCCTGGGACCATGGCAGGACTGTCACATGTGTCACCCTGCCTGTGACACCCTGCCTGTGACACCCAGCCTGTGATAACTGTGTCACCCTGTCCGTGACACCCTGCCTGTGACACCCATGTCGCCCTGTCTGTGACACCTGTGCAGTGACACCCCTTGAGGGCTCAGTGCAGGCCACACGGTGCCCTGGGATGGACAGAGCAGGCAAGGCCACAGTCACACGTGCACACGGCCAAGGAGCCCCAGGGAGGGGCAGGTGATGCAGGGACAGCCCAGGTGCCCTGCCCTGGCCTCAGGGAACAACGAGTGACATGGACACCTGGGCCAGGCACACTGAGGCTTTCCCAGGGGGCTGCTCTCTCCCAGGGAGCACCAGGAGTCCCTCAGTGCTGATATCTGTGTGAATCCCCCTGCACACAGCTCACATCCCACCCCAGAGCCTCTGCTGCCCTTTCCTGGTGCACAGGAAACATCCCCGCAGAGGAAACCTCCCTCACACCCTCACCCTGCCACAGGAAACCACAGCTGGGGAGAGGAGCAGGGGCAGATTCACCTCGCCAAGCACACCCTGGGCAGGATCACCTCCAGCACGGACCCTCAAAGCCCTCATACCCAGCAGCACACCCACCTCTTCCCACAGCTGGTCTGTCAAGCTGCAGGAGCACTGCAAACCCGGGTAATGCCACACTTCCCATCTCTGTGTCTCCCTTTTCCCCACCAGGCTCTTCTCCCTCAGTTCTGCTCATCCCAGCCACCTCTCCTGGCACCACGATGTGCCCAGCCCAGCCTGAGCTCCATCAATCACAGATCAAACACCAGGGTGGTGCTCAGGGCTGGAGCCCCGTGCTGGGCTGAGAGCGTTCCCACAGCTGCTGTTTGTGCTGGCAGCAAGGGGGACAGCAGTGCCCCAATTCCTGCCCACATTCCTGCCCTGACAGGGGGACAGCAGTGCCCCCATTCCTGCCCACATTCCTGCCCTGACAGGGGGACAGCAGTGCCCCCATTCCTGCCCCCATTCCTGCCCTGACAGGGGGACAGCAGTGCCCCAATTCCTGCCCCCATTCCTGCCCCAGACAGGGGGACAGCAGTGCCCCAATTCCTGCCCCCATTCCTGCCCCAGACAGGGGGACAGCAGTGCCCCAATTCCTGCCCCCATTCCTGCCCTGGACAGGGGGACAGCAGTGCCCCCATTCCTGCCCACATTCCTGCCCTGACAGGGGGACAGCAGTGCCCCCATTCCTGCCCTGGACAGGGGGACAGCAGTGCCCCCATTCCTGCCCACATTCCTGCCCCAGACAGGGGGACAGCAGTGCCCCCATTCCTGCCCTGACAGGGGGACAGCAGTGCCCCCATTCCTGCCCACATTCCTGCCCTGACAGGGGGACAAACACTGAAACCATTCTGAACTGCACGAGCATGCAGGGAACAGCCAAACACCATCAGATCACAGGAAAAAAAAAACCCCGAGAATTCGCCGAGCCAGGCAGACCGTGCAACCTTGCAATGTTTATAAATTAATTATCTGAAAAGCCCAGGTCACTCCTGATTGCCACGGCGGCTGTAATTTAGAGGGCTGGCGTGCAGCCAGCTCCAGGAGCTGCATTGATCCTGAGTGACCGCAACAACCCCCGCTCACACCCCCTCTCCCCTGCCTGCCCCCTCCCTGCTGCCCGGCCCCCCCGAGGATCTGTTATTTACAATCCCACTCTGACAGTTGGGAAATCAGATTGATTGACAGAGGGACGCTGGCGGATGGAGGTTCCAGGCACGGAGACAGACTGAATTCAGAATGTGGGATGAATGCCACTGGGAGAACGGGGGCGGAGGAGGGGAGGGGAGGGGGGGGCTGGAAAGCAATTAAAAAAAAAAAAAAAAAATATTTCTAAATTATTAACATTTTTTAAATTATTAATGTTATTGGTGCCTCCGTGTGAGCCCGCAGATAAACTGCGCTTTGTACTGGCACTAATAATTTATAGCCCAAGCAGAGCCCTGTGGTGTGGAGGCAATCCAAAAATACACCAAGTTTTGTCTTGTCAGTGCTCCCCGAGCCAGTCTGCCTGTGCAGGCTCCTCATCCCCCCCTGCCCACCCCAAAGCCCAGCGTGACCCCCCTGACAAACAATTCAATCATCCCCATCAAAACACGCCAGGCTCCCAAGGTAATGAGCTCCTCTGGTTATTCTGGGGGCAGGGGGTGACCCAGCTGTCCCCCAGCACACACTGGAGGGATGGACACGTCCCCATGGCCAGCAGCCACCCAGGGCCAGTCTGTCCCAGCCCTGGTGCCACCCCAGGCTCTGTGCTGTGCCCAAGCCTTGCCAGGCTCCAGTCAGGGCTGAATATTCAGTGCCCCTCTTTTGTCACCCGCTGTCCCTCCCTCTGTGCGTGCTCCCACGTGCCATCCCAGCCCTGTGGCACACAGCTCTGCCCCTCTGCCACCAGAGCTGAGCTTGCAGGGGCTCTGCAGTGCCTGGCACAGCCCGGCCCAGCCCCAGCTGCTGCCCCCTCCCCACGGGGCCGGGGCAGGTTTGTGTTTGTGCCTTTGCTGATAAGCAAATCCTTCCTCCACAGCATTCCCTTCCTGCCCCCAGAGAAGCCAATCAAATCAAACAGAGTGGAAAAGAAGACAGCCTCTTCATTAACCTAACAAGGAGCCCTGGGGATTCACACTGGGAGCAGAGATCCTCCTGCAGCTCCAGGGATGCTCTGCTGGGGCTGCTGCTGCTCCTGAGGCAGGCAGGACGTGCCAGCCCTGCTCTCTACCTGGGCAGGGATGTTTTACCTGGGCAGGGATGTTTTACCTCTGGAGGGATGCTCTACCTGGGCAGGGATGTGCTCTACCTGGGCAGGGATGTTTTACCTCTGGAGGGATGCTCTACCTGGGCAGGGATGCTCGTGATCCTGCAACCTCCTGGTGCCCCCTTTAGGCACAGCCCAGGACGTGCTGGATGCAGCTCCCTCCAAAACATCTCCCAGGCCCATCCCAAAGGAGTCCAGGGCTCAGGGCCATCTCCATTCCAAACAACTCCAGGGCTCAGGAACATCTCCCAAACAAGTCCAGGGCTCAGGGCCATGTCCCAAACCCATCCCGAACAACCCCAGGGCTTGAGGCCAGCTCCATTCCAAACAACTCCAGGGCTCAGGAACATCTCCCAAACCTATTCCAAAGGAGTCCAGAGCTCAAGAACATCTCCCAAACAAGTCCAGGGCTCGGGGCCATGTCCCAAACCCATCCCAGAGGAGTCCAGAGCTCAGGAACATCTCCAGATCCATCCCAGACAACTCCAGGGCTCAGGAACATCTCCCAAATCCATCCCTGACAACTCCAGGACTCAGGAGCATCTCCCAAACCCATCCCAGACCCATCCAGGGCTCAGGAACATCTCCCAGACCCATTCCAAAGGAGTCCAGAGCTCAGGAACATCCCCCAGACCCATCCAGGGCTCAGGAACATCCCCCAGACCCATCCCAACACAAGCCCATGGCTCAGCCCAGCCCCATCCCGCCCCCATGGCAGCAGAGCCCGGTGCCCCTGCTGTCTGTCCCTACCCCCGTGGCTGGGCACTGCCATGCTGTTGGCCAGCTGGAAGAGGCGCTGCTGCTGCTGCTGCTGCTCCTCGAAGGAGCCGTGCTCGTTGAGGGCGGACATCATGCGCCTGTAGTGCTCCTCGGGGGTCATCTGCGCCACCTCCTCCAGCGCCGGCGTCTGCGACGTCTCTGGGGACAGACAGACACACAGACACGCTCAGCCTGGGCAAGCAGGGCAGCTGGGAGCCAGGGTCTGCCTGCAGGAAAGCTGGGGGTCACATACTGGTATTGATGGCAAATACCAGAGGGGATGTGTTGGGCTGCACCAAGGGGAATTCAGGTGGGATGTTGGGAAGAAGGTTTGTACAGAAAGGGTGGTAAAGTTCTGGAATGAGACCAGGGCTCAGGAACATCTCCCAGACCCATCCCAAAGGAGTCCAGGGCTCAAGGACATCTTCCAGATCCATCCCAAATGAGTCCAGAGCTCAAGAACATCTCCCAAACCCATCCCAAATGAGTGCAGGGCTCAAGGACATCTTCCAGATCCATCCCAAAGAAGTCCAGGGCTCAGGGACATCTCCCAAACCCATCCCAAAGGAGTGCAGGGCTCAGGGACATCTCCCAAACCCATCCCAAACAAGTCCAGGCCTCAGGGACATCTCCCAAACCCATCCCAAAGGAGTCCAGGGCTCAGGGACATCTCCCAAACCCATCCCAAACAACTCCAGGGCTTAGGGACATCTCCCAGACCCATCCCAAAGGAGTCCAGGGTGCCAAGGTTTAGTTGAGGGGTTGGGGCTGAGCTGGACTCAATGGTCTTAAGGATCTCTCCCAGCCTGGGGATTCTGAGAATTTGGGGGATTCTGAGAATTTGGGGGAATTCTTTCCTTGTAAGACCTTGAATGCCTGTTGGTAATTGATAATTCATCAGAGCAAGGCCTGGCAGTGCTGCCCCAGCCCCAGGGGACGGTGCTGCCATCCCCCTGGCCAGCCCTCAGGGGGACACCTCAGAGCAGGCTGCGTCCCCTCTGCACCCTGGGGGCTCCCAGAGCCCCTCCCTGCCCATGGAGTGCCCGAGGGATCCCAGCCTGGCAGCCAGGCAGGGAAAACCACAGGGGTTTTGTGTTTACTGTAAGCACAGCTCTCAGTAATTACTGCTCTCTGCCTTGGCTGCTCCAACACTATTTTATCTTGGATCTTTCCCACAGGCAAAGCCTTTTCATTACTCAGAGAGGAACTCCCAGGCACAGGGAAGGGGGGTGGCAGGGCTGGCACTCACAGGAGCACTGAGGGGCTGGGGGGTGACAGGGCCACCCTCCTGTGTGCCCCAGTTCCTGCTGCAGGGCTCACAGGGGTGGCACCTGTCCCAGCATGGCACTGGAAATGCTGCTGGGGGGCTGAGAGAGGGGCTCCCATCAGGAAAGGTCAGAGTGGGCAGCCAGAACCAGCCCAGGACACACAGGGGCTGAGAAATGAGGCAGCCCAGGGACTGCTGTGCCCTGGTCTGACACCCAACCCACGGGGCTCTGGGGCAGAAACCTTGCACAGGCTGGAATGAAACCACCACCCCCTCCCCAGAATATGGGGGGGAAACATCATCATCATCATCATCATCATCATCATCATCATCTCATCATTGTCATCATATCATCATCATCATATCATCATCATATCGTCATTGTCATCATCATCTCATCATCATAAAATCAATCACCATCTCATCATCATCCCAATAATAATAATAATGAATTATAACAACAATAAAATAGAAAAATAAATAACAATGAGTAACGATAATAACAATAATGATGACCGTAATTATAGTGATTGAAATAATAATAATAGTAATAATAATAATAATAATAATAATAATAATAATAATAATAATAATAATAATAATAATAATAATCTGAGCTGCACAACATCTCAACACCCAAGGGCTGCATCCCTGGCTGCCAAGAGCAGAGAGCAAATGACTCCAATGACTCCAGCTCAGCTCAGCCCTCCAGCAGGGCCAGGCTCTCCTCACACAGCACTGTGGGTGCCCTGCAGCCTCAGCCTGTGCCCCAGTGACCCACATCTGCACCCTGCTGCCTCCCTGGGCAGCTCCCAGCCCTGCTGGGATCAGGAGCTGCGTCCCCACCCTGCCCTGGGTCCCCCAGCCCCAAAACCCAGAGCCCAAGGAAGGGCAGGGGCTGCTCTGGGAACAGCCCTGCTCCCTTAACCCCATCCCAGACCTGCAGGACAGCCCTGGAAGCAGCAGGGGAAGGAGGAAAGGGCAGAATTCCCGTCCAGGTCTCCTTCCCAGCAGGGAGGATTCCCTCCTCCTCCTCCTCCCCCAGGGATGCAGGAGCTCCCTGTTTCAGCTCCCTCCTGATGCTCTTACCCAAAGGTCTCAGGAGCAAAGCCACAGACCTGATTTAGAAAAACACTGAATTTTTTTTTCTTCTCCCCCCACAGCTGTGTCATTAGAGCAAAGAAAAGGGAGGGGGAGGGGATTTAATAACACTTAATTACCATAAACTCCATCGGATCAGCCGCAGAGCAGATTTCAGGTGCAGGGAGGGGAGGGACAATGGGGGTGGCTGATAGGAAGGAGGAATCCAGGGAAAGGCTGGATTTCCACGCTTAAAACTTGGAAGATTTCACATGACTCAGCCAGCAGTAATTCCAGCTTTGCTGGAGCTTTGCTGTCTGCTTTTGTCATTACCGGGGTAATGCTGGAGACTGATCTGCCAAAGCTCCCGCGGCCGCCAGGTGTGAAATGGACTCTGGCACAGCCCCGGGGAGGCCGGGAGAGCCAGGCCAGGATCTGCTGGGCCTCTGCAGCCCCAGCACATCCCCCTGAGCAGCCCAGCCCAGCCTCCCATCCCTGGCACGGCCAGGGCAGCTCCTGGGCACGCAGCTCCTGCACAGCCAAGGACACTGCCCTGCACAGCCTCATCCTGCCCAGGTATTCCCAAACAAGGCAGGAGCACCCAGCCTGTCCATCCTCCCCTCCTGGCCTACCACAACCATGACAGGCCAAGGTTCCCTTTATTCATCCCCAAGGACCTGCAGCAAACCCAGCTCAGCCCAGAGCCCAGGGCTGGGTCAGCAGCCTCAGGGGTTTTTCCTGCTGTGCCCACCCCAGCCACGTTCAGCAGCCTGGCTTTGGGGGCAGCAATGCTGCCAGCAAGAACAAGGCCAAAACCTCATTTCTTCCCCTGGCCTAACTGGAGAGCTGCCAAAGCCACCAGCATGGATGTCCCCCCCCCCCAAGGAGAGGGACAGACAGACAGAGGCTGGGCCTGAGCTGCTCAGCTGCAGTCCAGCTCTGCTCCTGGGCTCCTCTGTTAAGCAGAGATCTTGTTTTGGTTTCAATGGTCCCCAGCAGCACAGACAGGAGGATGGCAGCAGCAGCAGCAGCCTGTGAGCTCATCCCCATCCAGGGTGAGAGCCCCAGAGCCTTCCCTAGGTGTGTTTTCCAGCCCTCCATCCATCCTGCTCTCCCACCAGAGGGATTTCCCAGCTGCTCCAGCAGCAGGAACTGAACGCTCTTCCCAATTTTCCCTTCTCCAGCTGAGTTCCAGCCTCGAGGCACTGGGGAAGGAGCTCTGCAGCCAGGCAGGGGAGCTTCCATTCACTGGGGAACCACGTCCCCCTGCCCTGCCCTGCCCTGCCAGCCCTGGCTCCAGAACGTTCTGCTTTGCTGGGCAGGGCCCCGTTTCCCCAGCCAGGGCTCCCCTTTGATCTCCGGAGCGGGCTCTGGGGAGGGGCCAGGGCAGCCATGGAGGCTGCTTCCCCCTCTGGGAGGGTTTCCAGCCCCACAGGTGTTTTCTCACTCAGCCAGGGAGCAGCAGGGATGGCCTTGGCTGCCTCTGCTCCCTCGGCACGCCAGGAGCGGCCACGGCAGCGCCAGCGGAGCCACGGGGTCACTGCTCCTGCTCCAGAGCTCCTCTCCACAGGCTCCTCTTGCACAGGCTCCTCTTCCAAAGGCTCCTCTTGCACAGGCTCCCCTTCCAAAGGCTCCTCTCCACAGGCTCCTCTTGCACAGGCTCCCCTTCCAAAGGCTCTTCTTGCACAGGCTCCTCTTGCACAGGCTCCTCTTGCACAGGCTCCTCTTCCACAGGCTCCTCTTGCACAGGCTCCCCTTCCACAGGCTCCCCTTCCACAGGCTCCCCTTCCACAGGCTCCCCTTCCAGAGCATCCCCTTCCAAAGGCTCCCCTTCCAAAGGCTCCCCTTCCAAAGGCTCATTTTCCAAAGGCTCCCCTTCCAAAGGCTCCTCTTGCACAGGCTCCTCTTCCAAGGGCTCCCCTTCCAAAGGCTCTTCCAGATCCAGTCCAGCTGTGCCTGAGCCAGAGCTGCTCCCAGGGCCAGTGTGGGATGGAGAGGGGCAGATCCTGCTGGGATCACTGGGATGGAGAGGGGCAGGTCCTGCTGGGATCACTGGGATGGAGAGGGGCAGGTCCTGACAGGGGAGATGCTCCCAGTGTGGGATGGAGAGGGGCAGATCCTGCTGGGATCACTGGGATGGAGAGGGCAGATCCTGCCTGGAGCCCATCCCCACCCCAGGGATGCAGGAGATGCAGCAGCAGCAGCACCCCCAGGAGGCCCAGGATCACCAGGCTGCAGGAGAAGGGGTCCCAGGAGATGCTGCAGCCCTGGCTCCTCCAGCAGGACACACGGGGCTGGTGGGATCCTGGATTCCGGGCAGCCCTGGCCTCCCTTCCCATTCCAAATCCCAAAGTGCCCTCTGGGCCCCAGCCAGAGTCCCCCAGTGCCCAGCACCACCCAGAGCAGCAGCTCCCAAATCCCATGAGGGCCCATCCCATGTGGGAATGGTTCCCACACAAGCTGGAGCAGAGCTGGGAACACAGGGACTGTGTTTTCCCCATGGCATCCATGGCACACTCATTCTGGAGCCACAGGAGGATGGGAGCTGCCACTGCTGGGGGTTAGGACACAAACCCTGGGGCACAGCCCCTCCTGTCACCCCCTTGTCACAGCACAGAGCACACAAACCTCAGCTCCTCACCCTTCCAATGAACTCAGCACAGACTGGCCTAAAATTCCTGCACAACTCTGGGAGCTCCCCAAGGATTTAATAAAAACTTGGGAGATCAGCAAAAGGCCCAGCTCCAAATTTCCATTCTGTCTCACCTCAGAGTGGGAGTGGAAAACAAAACCTGGCTTTATTCAGGGCTTCCTGGGAACCCCTCTGTTAAAAAGCTGGGGGAATCCCTGAAGGCAGGATTCAGATCCTGAGTGCTTCCTGCAAAGCCAGGGCTCCTCAGCCCACAAAAATCAAGGTGGGAAGGCCAAAGGAAAGGAACAGAATGACATCCCTTGACCCCATGCCAAAACCATCCACCTGAGCCAGCCCGGGCGCCTTTTCAGGATCAATCCAAAGCAATCCCTTGGTTTGGGTGAAGTTCAGCCCATTCCCAGCCAGGCCCCACAGGTTCTGTTCCCTGCACTCAGCTCTCAACCACAAACTTGGAATCACCAGGGGCACAACCTCAGCAAAATAGAAACATAATACATAAATATATAATATAAAATGTAATGTGGGTCCCAGGGGCCTCGTGCCTGATGGAACAAATCTGTTCATGAACCTGTGGAAGCATCACCTGGAACTCACCTGCACAGCCACCAGAAACATTTCAGGGATGACAGGAACAGAGCAGATGGGAAAAAAATCAAAGAAAACAGAAGGAGGAGCCGTTTGAAGGGTTCCCAGCACAATCTGAGGCATTTCTGCTGCTATGAAAGAGTTGATGGGCAGGAGAGGGTTACACCAGAGAGAGGATTTAGTATTTTCTATAGTGAAACCAGCACTCAAGGTCCTCTCAGAGGATTCTGCCTCCAGAGCACGCTCTGGGCACCAGGAGGGCAGGACCAGGAATGTTCTGTGCAGTCAGGAGGCAGGACAGGCCCCCACAAAGCATCCCTGCAAAGCAGAATGTGAGGTGTGTGTGGCTGGAGGGGGCTCCAGGACAAAGTGCTGCCCTTGGAGATTCCCTGCACGGTCAGGGGGAAGCCAGCCCTGGCAGAGGCTCAGCTGGGCTGGTGCTTGGAGCAGGATCAGCCTCACAGAGCTGCTCTGGCTGCGCAGGGAGAGCAGGTTTAGGATGGAGCTGGGTATTACTGACAGCTAATTAGCCCGATATTAACAACAAAGCCTTTAAGTAAACGGCCTGCAAAACCTCATTTACTCAACCTGGAGACAAACTCATTAACTGCAGGCTCCATTAGCCAGCCCGCTTTGCCACTCGTAAAGAAAGTTTAAAAATCCTGTTTATAGGAAAGAACTGGAAGCCAAATCAAGAGATTAAAAAAAAAAAAAAAAAAAAAAAGAGACAACAAACCAAACCCTAAATAGAGAAACCTTCTGCAGATTCCATCTCTATAGGAACGGTGCCATAAATGCATAAGAGAAAACTCAGCAGCCCCATTCTCCCTGCCAGGCTCCTTTTTTCCCTTTAAAGGAGCAGATGCCAGCACGATAAGCCCGTGTGTACCTTTCATATTAAACATGTCACCGAGACATTTCTGCCCGAAGAAGTAGGAACACCCCTGAAATCCACCTGGAAGGCTGCAGCCTGCTTGTTTTTGTTGGGTTTTTTTTTTGGTTTTTTTTGATCAGCAAGCAATTACAGTAATTAAGAGGCAATCCCCGTGTCGCCCTGCAAGGCTCCCTCCGAGGAGATAAAGGAAAAGCAGAGCCTCCTCCTGCAGCCCCGGTGCCAGACACAGCTCCCACCCCACAGCCCTCCCTCCTTAATTTCAATTAAGTTCCACTCCGGGGAAAGGAGAAGAAAGGGGAAGGGGATGGGGGAGGAGAGGCAGCACTTACCCTTTGGGGACTCACTCCGGGCTTTCTTGCTCTCCAAAGGACACTCACTGCTGCTGTTGGGGGAACATACTCTTCTCTTGCCTAAAATTTCATCTGGGAGAGAGAGCAGAGAGCCGGGAGTCAGAGGAGGCTGCACTTTCCCCCGTGCAGGAGAGACCAGAGACACTTTGGTATTTTGCTGCTCTCTCTCACACAGGCACACACACACACACACACTCTGATATTACGAGCAGAGAGAGAAAAAAATGAAAGTAAGAAAAATCATCATCTTGAGAGCCTCGATCTGCTTTCCTAATCACGCAGCCCAAAAGCACATAATGACTATTCATACTCTGATCAATGCAACGCTTTCCAGCCATAAATTCTGAATCCAGTTGATTTCCTTACTGAGTTTCATCATTTGCTCTGGTGCCTTTTGTCCCCCTGGTGTTTCCACTCCTTTCATGCCCTGATGCAAAGCAACTGGGGGAGAGGAAGGGGAGGAAAAAAACAACACAGGGAAGGGAAAAAAAAAAAAAGAAAAAAAAAAAGAAAAAAGCACAACAGATCTCTGAATCTTCCTACCACAGTATCTGTGTCTCTCTCTGTCTCTCTCTCTCTCAGTCTCTCCCCCTCCCTCTCTCCCCTCCTCCTTCAAAACCTCAAGGTCCTCAGCAATCTTCCCCCTCTGGATTGCACGGAAACACTCGAGCCTTGTGCATTACTGCAGCCCTCCGGAGCAGCACCGAATCTCTGAGACACAATTACAGCGTCCCCGAGCAGGTTTGGAATCAATATCCTCCCCTAATAACGCCGGGGAAACTGAAAGCATGATGGTGCATACGGGCAGGAAGGAAGAGCCTGTTTGTCACTGCAAGCACCAAACCCTCATCTATCAAGGGCTTGTTAAAGATGCAGCATCTTAGAAGAGAGAAAATAATAATAATCATAATGAAAACCTCCCAAGCAAGCAGCACATTTGAGTGAGAAAGGGTTGGATGTGCCCGTGAGCCCAAGCACTGCCAGGCTGCTGCAATGAGGGGGTTAAGGGAGGTTACAAACCCCCTGCTCCTATTTATAACAACAACAACAACATCCTCCTGTTCCAGGGACACTGCCAGCCAAGGAACTGTCCCCAGCACTCAGCATCACTCCCCATCACCAGGGAGGCAGCTCAGCAGCCCAGGTGCTGCCGTGCCTGGCATTTACTGGGGATCAGAGCACAGCAGCCCCAGCAGGTGCCTCTGCCCAAGGAGCTCCAAGGGCCTTTCAAGGCTTTGAAGAGCAGAGGCTGCCTCCAAACCCACCCTGCCAGGACCCTGCCACCGAATCCCTGGACAGAACTGGCCCTGGGGATGGTGCAGAACCCAAGGGAAGGAAGCACAGCAGAGCAGAGGGGCTGGGGAGAGCCAGGGAAGGACAGAAGCCTCCTGACAGCGCTCTCGGCACTCACATCCCAGCTGCCTGTCCACACAACTGGCATTTGCTCACTCCTCCTGCCTCAGTTTACCCTCACACAACCCCTGCACTCCCCCAGCTCGGGGCTCATAGGGAGCACACTCAGAGCCTGTCCACACAACTGGCATTTGCTCACTCCTCCTGCCTCAGTTTACCCTCACACAACCCCTGCACTCCCCCAGCTCGGGGCTCATAGGGAGCACACCCAGAACCTGTCCATACAATTGGAATTTTCACTCTCACTCCTCCTGCCTCAGTTTACTCCTCAAAAAACTCCTGCACTTCTTGAGCTCATCCAGTCTGTCCACACAATCAGAATTTTCTCCTCCTGCCTCAGTTTACCCCTCACACAACCCCTGCACTCCCCCAGCTCGGGGCTCACAGGGAGCACACCCAGAGCACACCCAGAGCCCCCAGCTCCCTCCCCCTGCAATGCTCCATCCCTCGGTGCTGCCTTTCCTGGAAGCTTCCCCCCGATGCTGCAATCCCCCCGCGCTGGAGGCCACGGTCACACATCCTGCTCCTCCCCAGGACTGCTCCCAGCCAGCATCTGTGGCTTTGGAACAAACTCCAGCGGCTCTGCTCTCCCCTCCCGGGCGGAGGCAGAGGAGCCTCCATGGGAAGGAGCCGGTGACAGCAGCACGGGCTCCATGTGACAGCCCTGGAATGTGAGCAGTGAAGATTCCTCGCCTTCACAGCTCTGCCAAGGCACCTCGCTCCCCCCGTCCCTGCCTCCCTCCCGCTGCTCCTCTCCCACCCCCGGGCCCATCTGCCGGCAGGCGCTGCTCCCTCCGGGGCTGCTATTCACAGATAGGCACGGATAGGCACGGATATGCACAGATATGCATGGATATTCACAGATATCCACAGATATGCACGGATATTCACAGATATGCACAGATATTCACAGATATGCACGGATATGCACGGATATTCATGGATATTCACAGATATTCATGGATATTCCCAAATATTCACAGACATGCACGGATATTCATGGATATTCCCAAATATTCACAGACATGCACGGATATTCATGGATATTCACAGATATGCACGGATATTCACAGATATTCATGGATATTCACAGATATGCACAGATATGCACAGATATTCCCAGATATTCCCAGATATGCACAGATAGGCACAGATATGCACAGATAGGCACTGATAGGCACCGATATGCACGGATATTCACAGATATTCCCACATATTCCCAGATATTCACAGCCATTCACAGCCATTCCCAGATATTCCCAAATATTCCCAGCTTTCTCAGCCATCCCAGCTATTCACAGCCATTCCCAGATATTCCCAGATATGCACAGATATTCACAGATATTCCCAGCTTTCTCAGCCATCCCAGCTATTCCCAGCCATTCCCAGATATTCCCAGCCATTCCCAGTTTTCCCAGCCCATTCCCTGCCCATTCCCAGCCATTCTCAGCCATTCCCTGCACATTCCCAGCCATACACATATATTCCCTTATATTCCCATATATTCCCAGCCCATTCCCTGATATTCCCTGCACACTCCCGGCCATTCCCAGCCCATTCCCTGACAGTCCCTACCATTCCCAGCCATTCCCACCCACCTCAGCCCCATCTCCCTCACAGCCAGGGGCAGGGCAGGACCAGGATCCCACAGAGCTCTGCCCTGGCACCAGGTTATTGCCCGGCCTGGCTTCAGAACTCTGCAGTTCCACTGATAATGTCTTTCATTTTCAGCTGTAATATTAAAAACTGCCCTGATCTGGCTCCCGTTCAGCTGCAGTGCTCTGCAGGGAGGCAGGGAGAGGAGGCAAAGCAGGGATTGGGGAACAGAACCCCAGATGCCTGCCCATCCTCTCAGGTGGATGTTCTGCACTGCCTGCAGGTGCACGGGCTGGGCAGAGCCTGCCCTGGGCCCTGTGCTGGGTGAGCAGCACGGCACTAAAAGCACAGCCTGGCTCTGGGAGGCTGCTGAGACATCCAGGAGCTGCTCTGCCAGCTCATTTGCAAAGCAGATTTGGGCTTGCTGCTGCTGCTGCAAAGTCAGGGGAGATGGGCACTGCCTGCTCCCACCTGGGAGCCCTGGCTCTGTGTGAGGGCACAGGGGGCTTGGGGGGCTGCCAGGCCAGGGGCAGGGCTGGGGGGAGTGCAGGGTCCTGGGGAGGGGCTGGGCAGGTGGAGGTGAGTTCAGCCCCCCCTGTGCCCAGCTCAGGGCTCTGCAGCCCCTGTGTGCCAGGAGAGCCCCTCTGTGCCAGTTCAGCCCCCCTGTGCCCAGCTCAGCCCCTCTGTGCCCTATCCAGGGCTCTGCAGCCCCTCTGTGCCAGCTCAGCCCCCCTGTGCCCTGCCCTGTGCCCTGCCCTGTGCCCTGCCCTGTGCCCAGCCAGGCTCTCAGCAGCAGGGGCAGGGGCAGGAGTGGGCACTGCCCCAGCAGCCAGCTGGCACAGCAGCCAGCCCGGGGGATGTTTTGTGAGCAGCCAGCCCGGGGGATGTTTTGTCTCCTGCCCTGCTCTAATCCTCAGCCTCCCCACCCTCAGCAGCCCAGCTAAGCAGCCCAAGCCTCTGATCAGCTTTCAGCAGAGCACTCGGGAGCCTAAGGCTGGGGGGATTAGGAACCCTATCCCCAGGATCCCCAAAGGCACAGGGGGGGCTGGATCCCACCCTGCACGGGGAATCTGCACCCAGGACACCCCTGGGACAGCTGGGCAGGGGGGGTCACCCGGGCAAGGGAAATCAGGGAGGATTTTGCTGAGGGGGCTACAAAGGGTCCCGGTTTCAGCCCAAACTGCTCTGCCCTGTGCTCCTGCTGCAGCACAGTGGGGAGGGATGGGGACCTATCCCACGCTCCCCAGCCCAGCTCTGGGGCTGCTCTGAAAGATTCTTGGAGCACAAAGTCCTGAGCAAACAGAGAGTGGGGCCAAGTTCCACGGGAAAGCACCCAGGCCGGGCCAGCCAACATCCACGAGAGCACAGCCCCTCTCCCACCTCCTCCTCATGGCTGCAGGAGAGGGGAAAAGGGAAAACCGGAAAACCATCGTGCCTGGCTCTCAGCTCAGCCCCGAGCAGGCCAATCCCCACTGGCCAGCCTGGGATGCCTTGGCAGCCTCTCCCTGCTCTCCTCTGGCAGGGACAGCTCCCAGAGAGGAGCAGCTGAGCCCTGTCCCAGCCACTGCTGCTGTCCCTGTGCCCAACCCGCAGCTCTGGGGACACCCCGGGGACAGCCTGGGGCTGCTGTGAGGAGCTGTCCCAGCTTGCTGGGGCTCAGCAGCCCCAGAGCTGCTCCCAGCAAAAGCTGGGACAGGGGGATCCATCCATGGGCAGCAGGAGAAGCACAAGGTCATGGGAAGAACCAGAACCAGGGCCATGATTTAACTGGGGGCAACAAGAATGGGGGGAAAAAATACTGGGGAAGCTGGGAGGGGCAGGGAGGCAGCGAGCTGCTGGGATTTGGGATCCTGAGCAATCCCAGAGCCTGGAATGGAGGCAGAGGCAGCCAGCTGCTGGGATTTGGGATCCTGAGCAATCCCAGAGCCTGGAATGGAGGCAGAGGCAGCCAGCTGCTGGGATTTGGGATCCTGAGCAATCCCAGAGCCTGGAATGGAGGCAGAGGCAGCCAGCTGCTGGGATTTGGGATCCCCCTCCCAGCTCCCTGCCCCAGGAGACTCCTG